CGCGGCCACCAGCCGCTGCCGGCCTTGACGCGCCGCTGTCTGTGTCGAGATCCCGACATCCAGCAGCCCCGCGCCGCCGACGTCGATCCGTTCGACGCGGTGAGGCAAGATCCTGCTTCCCTTTGCTTTGTCATTTTAATATTTATATTTGATTAATTAGTTGTGTAGATTATACTGATATGATATTATCTGTGTGGGTTTGTTGATAATACTACGGTGGTTATATTTTGTGCAGTGATGCTATATATGATTAGTTTACGATTAATTTCGAAATGTTTTTGAAAGAAAAAATAATTTTGTAAAAGGGAGTATTCTGAACTATTATTATGAGAAATATTTTAAAAGAATTTATTTTGGAAGAAGTAATATTAATTAGAATATTTAAAGATTATTTTAGAATTATTGTAATGAGAAAAGAATTTACTTTGTGTAAAAGGAATTAATTTAGAATAATAATTTAAAAGAGTTTATTTTTATAAAAAGATTATTTTAAATAAATAAATTTATGATTTTTAAAGACTACTTTTGGATTATTATAATGAGAAATAAATTTAAAAAAATTATTTTGGAAAAAGAATTATTTTCTGAATTACATAGTTGCTGTTCATGATTACATTTCATGTTTTGTGAATATTTTACTGTATTCGACATGTCATGATGTGATTGCGTGAAATTAATGTTATTATTATCTCCTTGTTGTGTTTGAGAACCTTAGTAGTTCATGACTTAGTGGTCTCGTGCGTCATGAACAGACCTAGTGACATGTGTGGGTGTGCTAACTGAGTTTAGGTGGTGAACCCAAGTTTAATAGGGATTATGATTGTTGAATTAGAGAAAACGAGAAGAGTTGGGATGGGGAAGTTAATGTTTATGTGATCGGATAAGATTGTTGATGTATCTTACAGACTAGAACCAGTAAACCGTTTCGCACTGGGGTTAGTTTGTTAGGCCAAGTGAACCGTTTCGCACTTGGTCAGTGAAATCGTTTCGTCACCCGAGTTTTGCTTGAGTTCGGACCAGGTCGAAATCAGATTGCGTGTAGTCCTCACACCAAACCGTTTCGCGGGTTTGGATGCACGTAGGGGATTTGTGAACAGTCAATTATCCGGTGATATGAGCGTTGAATCTGTGTGAGATGTGGACCAGTAACTTGTTATAGAATGGCTAGTTACATGACCTCGTTATTTAGATGATTATGGATTCTTGTGAGATGTAGGTCAGTTGTGTTCTTTTCATACATAGATCAGGGTTAATATTTAATTATCTACAATTTGAGACAGATGGTATATACATGAGGGTTTCCTTGTTTGGATTATTTCGCTCGACGTACTACGTCTCGAGTTGTAGATTTTTAAGTATTAATTTCATCTAGTGTATGACCTTGTGACTTGGATGATTTCTGATCGCTAGCTGCATGATCTCGTTACCCGTTTGATTTATGGATTCTTATGATTATCGTGTTTTAGTAGTGAATTTGCATGTTGATTTTATCAGATTTCCATATGCATGTTCTTTTATCAATTCTGTTATCATATCGTTTTCTGTTTGGGTTTTCGTTTGCTCTATTTGTTTTGTGGGGTCTTGCCTTGTGCCATACACACTGACGTACACCTGTTTTCTCTAGTGTACGTCAGACTTAGAGGAAGAACAGGTTTAGCAGGACTCAGAGGATTCTCAGCAGGAGTACCCTGTAGACGGAGCAGAAGAAGGAGTCGACGCCTATTCTTTCCATTTATTAGTTGATGGTTCCGTTTACTCTTATAGTACTTCCCATTTTAGTTTGAACGATGTATTATATTTCTCTAGTATTCATTTGTTCATTTTGTATAAGGGCATGTTGACCCGAATATTATGTCTCAGATGTTATCCCATTTATGATATGATATTTTTATTCTGAGTTTGTCTATTATATTCTTGCTGATTGTGATCGGGGACCTGTGACTTCGCATTGTATTTATTTCCAGACGCTTAGCGTATTGGATTGAGAAGAAAAGAAAAGAGAAAACAAATGATAGTGTATATTCTTCTCAATCTAATACGTCGCGGGCTTGTTCACGATCCGATTCCTCTGTATTTTGGGAAGCGGGGCGTGACAGAGCATGTCACACTAGCCGTTAAAATAGTCGTTGTAAAGTGATGGATATGGTTGTTGATACTTTTCTATAAATTTACCATATGTAACCAAATAAAAGAAAAGAAAAATTTGCTAGTTCTATAAAATAATGAGCCAAATTTCTTGTTTTGAACCAAACAAATAAAATGCAACAAATAAGAAAAATTATATTTTTTGATTTCTGAAAACTTTTCATATAATGTTTTTTAAGAAATATAAAAAAATTTATATTTTGAGTGTTTTTCTTTTCTTATAATTTATAGAAATTTAACCGATCGCCCCTTTTGAGGAAGGCCAGCCTGTCTCCGGAGACGCGAGATCTCGTGAATCTGAGCTCCACTCTCTTTAATAAGTCCAATCCCCTCTGGATCTAAACTAAAACCAAATGGCCCCGTTACGGATTGGGGATTGGTGGGACCCTTGCCACGTGTCACTCAACCATCTAACTTCCGCCTTCGACTTTCGCGGCAGCCATCAAGGGACGAAATCCCCTTCATGTCGAATCAAATTCAGATGCCATTTACCCCTTCGCTTAACCTTTCAGAGCTCACCGAAGATCGGGCAATCGCCGCTTTACAGTCTCTCAGATATCGTCTGACGCGTTCTTCCTCCATTAGTCTTCCCACTTCCATCCCGGCAATTTCCTCCCGCGCAATTCACTCAGATGGCGATCCCTATCATCTCCCTCCAATCAAAGCTGCGATGCCTAATCCTCGATCACATCCCAAGAGTTTCGCTGTTCCATCGTTTCCTCAGTGAAGGCCATCTTACTGCTTCCCAACCGAACGAGCCGCTGAGCTCACGGTTGAATCTTTTTTTTCTCCTTTTTTCCTTCTTAATTTTAGTTTTTGGTAAATTTTGTTAATTTTTAGGGTTTTGGTTCTTCAGATCAAGGCGGTCCCTACGAAGCCAGTTGAAGGGCAGAAGACGGGAACTAGCGGGCTACGGAAAAAGGCACGTGGTTAGGGTTTTGTTTCTTTGACGTAATTGATTGTTGAGTGTTGGCTGATGGATTGGACTGTGGTTATGATTCTAGGTTAAGGTTTTTCGAGAAGAGAATTACCTTGCGAATTGGATCCAGGTACTGTATTGGTTATTGGATTGCAATGTAGGTTGTGAATTGTGGAAAAGGACTTGACTTTGTTTTGATTAACTTTTGTGTAGGCATTGTTTAACTCTTTGCCGCCGGATGACTTCAAGAATGGTGTGCTGGTTTTGGGGGGCGATGGGCGATACTTCAATAAAGAGGCTGCGCAGGTCCTTCGATCTTCCCTACCAAATGTTTTTCAGTCTATTTTTGCTTTTGTCCAGTAGTTTATTTGGTTATGTCCTTTTGCTTTGTGCTTTGCTCCTGCAATGCGGTGAGTTGCTTACTGAGCATATTGGCCACTGTTGTTGAATCCTTCTATAGTATTGAATTGTAAAATTGTTACAAAATTATAAATTCTAATTCTCTGAATATTATAAGTTTAATGGTTCATGTTTAGATGGATGACTATAACAGAACCAATGGAAGTGAATTACTAATGGGAGAGTGGTGATTTCATTCACTCCTTCCATATTTTCCCAAAAGTTTGTCTATTCAGAGGGGAAAAAGAAGGAAAAGAAAATGATGAAGATTTTGTGGAAGTTAAACAAAAATAGGATTCTACAGAATAAATAAATAGCATAATAGATAAGTAATCTCGATAGAAATTGCTGTAAAGTCTTTCAACAATGCCATGCGAGCTAGTCTTGTTGTTATATTTCACTTTCCTGTAGCCTTCTGACTTCAATTCTCTGTAAACTGGCTTACTTGATTGCAAGTGCAAACTTTAATCACTGTTGGGGGTTCAATTGCAAATTACAGACCCGATTCGGAGGATTTTTGTTACGTTGATTTCACTGCTTTTGCATGTGATATTTGTATATTTCATGGAGTAGTTTACAAGCTATCAAATGGTTTGGACTGAGTCACATCACTAGACAAATAGTTTAGAATCTCATTACAGGATACTGAACAGCCATTTGGCTTGAAAACAAAAGGTGCATTCAACAGTCAGTTACTGTCCACATAGAGACAATCCACTGCAGAATATTTGAGATACATATCCTTCAACAATTAATACTCAACCTTTCTGAGCTATTGCATCTCTTTCATATTTCTAACTGCAAATAAATCCTGAACTACATATCTTCAAATATTATAATCATGAGGAAACTAACCGAAGTCCGTCAACATGGGTTAGCAAGAAGAAGAAGTTAATCCTAGTTAAATATGTATTTCCTGTGTACAACTGCATCACTGCAGGTGTGTGCCTGGCATCTGCCTCTATGTGTATTCTTACCCGTATCTCTGTGTGCATCCCTAGGTGCGTCTATGACTGCCACTTGCACATATCCATGCACCATTGTCTCTATCTGTATGGCGCTTATGCGCATGCCTATCGTGCTTGTTTCCCTCTTAGGTGGCCTTATCTTTGTGTGCAATCAGCAGTTTGTGCTTGTTCAGCAAGCTTGTGTTTATGTGTGCATTCTCTCCTCTTCTTCTCTCTTTATGTTCATATAAAGTTCGGATTTAAGGTACAAAATGCCATCATGTTGGGAAAGATTTCATTGGAAGATCATCGTTTACGAGATAATTCACGTTCAGTGGTTCCAATTTAGTATTTCCACTTTTAGTTTAGAGTCTACTATGATGCTGATACTGAAAGAGTGGTTCCAATCTGAAAATGACAAATCTCCTGGAGCAAAGTCAAGGAGGGTCAAACACCAACCAAAAACTCAAAACCCTTAATACACTTACACATTGTTTAATATGCATGTTTGTTTTCCCCATTCATAATTATGCATGTATGTGGATATGGATGACCTTTTGGATTACTGTTTTCTGTTTCACTAAATTCTTAATGCCTTTTGGCATTTTTCACTATTATTGAGCAAACAATTTGGATACCGACTAAGCATACTGAAACCAGATTGCCACTCATGTAACAAACAACTAGTCCAAAATGAGCCAATATAAGGGCCAGAACATAACTGGAACATTGTAGAAATGTTACCAAGTTGATACTTGTTTCCGATAGTGTGACATCTGTTCCCTCCGGAACTGAAACAATATTGCTAAAGCTGGTATATTTACTGAAAACTCATTCCTTGCATAAAAATTTTTGGCAGCTGGCTGTTAGACAGACCTACATTTTTAAGTCGTGCAGTTTAAGCTTGGGTAATCATTGAGTAAACCTCCAAATGTTCTAGAATAGATATACCTACACAAGAGGTAGGATATATTATGTTGTCAGTTTAGATCAATATTTCTATGCCTTTTTTCTTCTACATAATGTGTGCGTCTAAGTAATGTTGTTATGATGGTAAAGTTGCCTCTTATTGCTTTCATTTTCATTTAATATTCGTATGATCTGTTTCTAATAGGTGTATTCAGTTAGGTTAGCTTTGCATTAAAATCTGAATAAGTATATGCAATTATAGGGATGGCATTATGTCTACTCCTGCTGTTTCTGCAGTAATTCGCAAGAGAAAGGTATTCTCGTATGTCTGTTTACACTAGAGCTGTTTTCTTTATTTCTCTTCTAATAGCTTATATTGATAGGCAAATGGTGGTTTTATAATGAGTGCAAGCCACAATCCAGGTGGACCAGAAAATGATTGGGGGATTAAGGTGATTTCTTCACCATATATGAACTTATTTTTCTTCTTTTTAAATATAAGATGGTAATTGTCCAAAGATTTTATAGTCCTCAAGAGCCATTTCAGCAAAAAGTTTCCAGCAGATTGATGATTAGACAACGCCTTTTACTTACATAATTAAATATGCAGATCTCTTTCACGACATCATCTTCTGAAGTGGGCAAATTCTATATATTCATTATTCATACACCAAATCAATCCTAAGCCTCTGATCGTGCCTGGCAGAAAATACGTAAACTTTACCTGAGTGAGCAAAATAACTTTCCAGATATATACTTATCTTGCTCAGTTTCAAAGCTACAGTCATCTAGGTAGTTGGTTTTCAACCGCTGCTTGGAAGTGAAGGGAATCTGCTAAAGAGTTATATTACCTACTTTTGTGTTTAACCACACTTCTTTGTCTAATATATTTGTAAGAATATTTCCATTCTAAATGGAAAATATTTGATTGTTTCTTTATTCTTGAACAACTTTCTCTTGTTTCTTACTATTTTTCTTAATAATGTTTATCTCCAGTTTAACTACAACAGTGGACAGCCTGCCCCAGAGTCGATCACAGACAAAATTTATGGAAATACACTTTCTGTACGTGTCTGATCGTTTTCTCCCTCTTACATTTCCTTTTTCTATTACGGTGTAATCTGGTCCTGTTTTCTTACTCGACTGGTGAATCTTTAATGTTTTCGAATATCAATTTTAACTGCTAACACCAGTATTACTACTGGTTGCTACCAAAAATAGACAGGAAAATATTTTGTTGATGAGTATAGGAGAACTCAATTGCATAAAGCTAGGTCCTGAATCATACAGTTAGGTAAATACTTTACGACATTTAGCTCCCATTTCCTTAAGTTTTGTCAAATCAGGGGGAATAGGTAATTATGCGTAGCCTATGATTACTAAAGTTCTACACATACAGACACAAAATAAAAGTTCACATGATCATTATAGAATTTTTTTTCCTTGGTCGACACCTTCCAAGTGAATGAATTAAGATACGAGCAAAACTATGATTTGAAGCTTCTGATTTACTAGCCCAACTTATTGATCTTGATCCAAATAGTGTAAAACCTTTCAACACCGAAGTTTAGGTGTTATATAAATTTATACTCCGTACACCTATGCAACTCACGTTCAAGACCGCCTATTTTAAGTCTGACTTAGAACACTCTATCTTTTGGGATTTAAAATGATAACGTATAGTTTCCAACTAATGGAATCAAAGCTCAAATCACTGGTAGAGTCCTATTCAAACTCTCCATAACTATACGTATACAGATGTAAAATTTAAGGCTTTATAGTTTCCTAGGATTAAATTTAAAGTTTGTTTCCATCTACCAAAGTATATGGTAATCCACGCTAATGGATGATTCACAACTCCCATCTTGATATATGGGTTGTAAACATATGAGATGCAAAAATTGTGGTTTTTGAATATTTATAATCCTTTTCATCTAACAGTTGCAAAATGAATGACTGTTTAATATAGAACAGAACGAATCAATAACTGGATGATTGAAAGTTTAAAATGCATAATCTTTTATCGATATGTCTTTTATGACTCGATATACAAAATGAACAGAATGCATTGCCCATTTATGTGATCCATCTTGAAGTTTTAAAGGTGAGAACAAACTTTACTTTTGAACAGAATGCAGAGGTCCATGTGCCCATGTGTACACGCACAACACCCGACCACATTCCCCCACAGCCACCTGTCTTCCCACATGCGCTCACGCGCGCACACACACATAATACCGTATGCGTGTAAGCATGTACATATGTAGATCACCATCTGACGGTTATTGTCCCCTTCTAGATATGAATTTTTCTTAACAATTTCAATAATCACGTAGGTGATGAATAACCATTTCTAGTGTGGAATGCGAGGGATTATTACCATCATCACACTCATGAACTACTTTTTTTTTGTTTAAATTTTGGCATTTGCCAAAATTGGGGGTTAATAAGTGAATGTAGTAATGGTAATAGATGACAGTTGTAACATAGTAACAAAGCAAATGGGATCTTCAACATTTCATTAGAGACTCAAGAGTGCTTCATTAGATTGTTTGGACTAATATTAAACAGTTCTGAATAATCATTAGATTATCAGCATCTGCTCAACAGCGGTAGCTCACATTTAATGAATAATCGAGGCAATTTAGTATGCATTTGGACTATGTGATGAGCCTATTGCTGCTGATGTTGATGCTGTTCTGAATTCTTGAATCATTATTCTCTTTTTATCTGTTCATGTGCATTCTTTACAGTATATTTTTAATTTATAAAGTGTTTATAATAGAACTCAACGCCTTACTTTAATGTTATGCGTATTAGCCATTATGAGTTCTATTTTTATATGAACTCCAGATGTTTTGCAATGTATTAGCCATTATGAGTTCTAATTTATAATATCTGCAGATTTCTGAAATTAAAGTAGCAGATATCCCTGATGTGGACCTCTCACGCATAGGAATTACAAACTATGGTAACTTCAACATAGAGGTGATAGATCCAGTTTCTGATTACTTGGAATTAATGGAGGTAAGCAGTGAAGCGGCACTAACCTTTAAATTATTGCTTTAAATCTTTCTTCTCTTTGAGTAACAGCTGAAATTATTTCTTTTCAGGATGTGTTTGACTTTCAGCTTATCAAAGATCTTCTTTCTAGACCAGATTTCAGGTACATGATATCCAGGATGAAAATTTAAGGACAGAATTCTACCAATATGAATGGAAAGAAAATCTGACATAATCTTTGTAATCAATCACTTTGAAAAGAAGCGTTATGCGTATTGCACCTATGACAGAAAAAGCCTGCACAATGGTTGCTAGAATGTTAAACGTTGTGAGGGTGATTTTGGATTTAATCAGTTATTGTTCAAAAGAGGGCCTACTTAGGTTTCACATGGTGCATATTTGCCGTTGAAAATTGTGCATCAGTTGTGCTATACCAAGATATGCGCACTCGCTAATGCTAATAAAGAAGTATCGTCAAGTTTGATGCTCTATGAGCCATAAAGCGGCGGTCGATTCAGACGCATGGATATTATAGCTTGAATTATTAAACGTTTTTGTAGCTTTTGATGAATACTTCAGGTTTTATCAACAATTTTTGTCCAAATTGATTGCCTACTCTGGTTTAGAAGAAATTGGGGATTGGTACCAAGATAAAGCACACGAGGAAAAGTTCATAAGATACTTGTGTGAGTTATTTTTTTAATGAGGGAATTACTGTTTTGTTTGTGGTCAATCGACAAGAAAAAAAAATTACTTTCTTCTTTTCTTGCCACTGTCATCAAGACTAATCCCTTAAACAATATTTTTACTGTTTCTCTTGATTGTTTCTGCTTCTTCAATATGTTTTGATGTGGAATATATTGCATGGTGATGGAGTTCAAATGTGCCGTCGTCAATGGAGTCAATAGAAAGCTAAAATCAGTTTAGTAAGAAATATGAATAAAACAAATGTAAGGTCCCTAGGATAAAACTTTCTCCACAGTGCTTTCAGTTACTCATAATCTTCAGCTTCAACCATCAGCTATTTATATATATAGTAAGATCTACTGGAGTAGTTGTCAAAGTTTAGTATACCCCTTTACTGTTATTGGGTTGGGTATCCTTAGTTCTTCATGCATGTTTACCATCGAAAGAGCATTCTTTATTCAAAGTTGTATTCTCCATGGTTGATGCTGTTTTTCTTCAATGTGTTTAATCAAATACCTATTCCAACAATTAATAGACGTGTGAGCTAAAATGAAGCAGAAAACCAAAACACAAAGCACACTGCATATTCTACGGTAATTTTCATGGTGATGACCATTAAGCTGGAAATGTAGTTAATCATGTCTGCCTATTTGTTGGAAACTGTCACGTGGAACTGGGGCCACTATGCCAAAATCCAAATGGTATAAATACCATTCTGCTCCTTAGCTACTCTGTAGACATCTTCAGTTTTTAAAAATTGTTAATTTTGCTAGGACTGTTGTCTGGATTATAATACATTGATTTGGTTTACAAAAAGGTTTTTGAAATTGTAATTCTGCGCCTAGTTAAACCCAGGGATCCTTTTTCTTTAATTCGAAGGAAGCTTATGATATAACGAGTCTTACTGGGATTATCAATATTTTCTTAGCATAACTAATAGACTGTGCATGTTAGAGTTAATGAATAATGAGAAAAAAATCTCAACTCTTTTTCACTTTTTTGAGAGACCAATTAGGATGCGTTGTTCAGTGATTTGTTTGATTCCAAGCGAGTTAAAATAGAGAATCATGCTTCTGAGAAAGTCATTTCGGTATCCTACTTCCCACTTTGATGTAATTAGCGTTTACGGTATAATTTGGTGACATCTATCATGCTATGTTCTCTCGGTACTCAGAGCAGCTCTTGCTCCCTATAACATGCTATGTTCTCTCGGTACTCAGCGCAGCTCTTGCTCCCTATAACTGTTACTGAATAGGATACTGGTATGAGAATTGTTATACATGTGGGTTGTGCAGAGGCATAAAAACCTATGCGACCGAGGAGCGTTAAGTTTTCTTATTCATTGTTAGTGCATGACCCATTTGTTTAAGTTTTGTAAAATGGTGGCTTTTTGGCACCATTGGTTATATATAGCTCCCACTTAAAGGTATCTGATGTGTTATTTATGACTCCGAATATAACTTTGGATCAGTTCTAATGTTTTGACAGATCATCCTTTCTCTTTAACATTATTTGTTTATAGTTGTTTCTAATATATATATATACAATTCTGTTGTGTATGTTTGTGCTGGTTTTAGTTTTGTGTTGTTCCGAGAAGATAATTAATCCTTGTAGGCTTCATCAATAGCCAAATCTTGCTTTTATATTTGAAGCATATGGTTAAAATATAATGATTCAGCTAAAATTTTCAGGTTTACATTTGATGCCATGCATGCAGTGACGGGTGCATATGCAAAACCTATATTTGTAGATCGACTTGGAGCCAACCCGGTTTAATACGAAACACATTAACACATTGTAAATAAATGACACCTTAATTGCAGTTTAAGAATATAAACTTATATATACCTTGCAGGATTGCATCTCAAATGGAGTTCCTTTAGAAGATTTTGGTCATGGCCATCCTGATCCTAATCTGACGTAAGGAGGGAAAAAGAAGAAGATGCATCTTATCAGAAAGTTCTTGATTCTGGTCTATGGATCCATCTTTTACTTTTCTTTTTTTTTACTTTTTGGACAGGTATGCTAAAGATCTGGTGGAGATTATGTATGCAGAAAATGCACCTGATCTTGGAGCAGCAAGTGATGGTAGGTACAAGGCTCAATATTTGATGTGCCAACATGAATGATATGCAGAACCTTAACTTTAAAACCGTAAATAATTAAAAAGCTTGAAACAGGGAAATTGCATCATATATATCTCAGAACTTTTAATAGTGCAGAATTATTGCACTGAGCTTAAACATCAAGCCTTCCCTCTACTTCATCTTTTCCAGCCAAATGCTAAATACCGAGTTTTGTTTTAAGCTATTTGAAACTTTTCATGTCTTCCTAATGAGGACAAGAAATGACAATATTTGATTAGTTGATATATTTTTGAATTTTGAATTTTGAAATCTAAAATTTGAATTTTGAATTTTGAAATTTGAAATTTGAAATTTAGTTTAATTTTAGTTGAGTGATTTGAGGGATTGTTGTTTGTTTCTATTTTTATTGCACGTTGTGTGCACGTAGTTTTTTTTTTATAAATAAGGTTGTATGAGACCATTGAAAATCAATGAATTATTGAATGAAAAATTGCATTAGCTAAAATCTGGTGTGAAGCCTTGGGTGTGAAACCTAGGCCTCGGGTGTGAAACCCTAGGCCGTTCCCTATGTCCTCTTCCTCCAGTCGCCAAGCATTCCCTCGTCTTCCCCACGTCAACAATCAGTCAAACCCTCCTCTTCCCTGCAACCACCAGATCCACACTCAGTTCGCCCTTGATCTCCACCTCCGCACCACCAGCGTCATCATCTCCTCCCAAGCAGCCGCCCTACTCCCACTGTCACCGAGCCTCCTTTCCCAGCAACTGCCGCCTTCATGTACACCAACTGTTTGGCAAAATTCCCCACCAGAGCAATACTACTACTGTCACAGCCGCTTACCACAAATCATCACATCGCTATCGTCCCGTCAACCTTACCGACCCCGTCACTCTAGTCGCTGCTCAGAATCGCCGCCACCTTCGTCGTTCAGATTCGTCACCACGTCGTTATCTGTTCAACACCGTCGCACTCGTCGTCATCAGATCTTCGCCTCGTCGTCGTCGTTCAGTTCACCGTTGTCGTCACCCCACCTCCAGAGATCTCTCACGTCGAGTCTGTTCAGACTGATGAAGGTTTCGTTTTCTTTCGTCCCTTATTTTTCTATTGATTTCATTTTGTTAGTTAATTGTATGAATAATACATCTCTAAACTCTTATCATATATTTACTGCTTAAAGTATAATTGTGAGTTGAGAGAAACTGAACATGTGATTGTTAAAACTTGATATTGATTGTAAAACTTGTGCAATGATAATGAATATTGTAATTAAATTATTCGAGATTGGGATTGTTTATGACTATCATTGCAAATCTTGTTAAAATCCATCTGTCGCATTAACTGTTTTAATTAATTTCCTACCGAATAAAATGATTTTTAGGCGAAACGGTGCGTTGTTTAAATTAGATCGCTGATTCCGATAGACTCCCTCCCCCGTTTCGCATCATTTTGGTATCAGAGCATGGTTCTAGGGTAGGAATTTTTTTAATTTTTTTTTTGAGTCTTTTAATTGATAAAAAAATCATTCATCTCATTTAGTTGTTAGTACTTGTCACTCGCACATGTCTACCATATCGATTAGAAAAATCAAGTGAGTCAACTAGTGAGTCAACTAGTGAGTCAAGCATGTCAGGCAGTGTAGAGTCCGAACTCCTTAAGAAATTCGGTGAACTAGCAGCACGATTTGACGACACCAATGAAAGGCTTGCTAGGCTCGCAGAAGCGCGCGTTACAACTCCGCCACGAGGTCAAGTCTATGGATACCCACTGCAAGGTCATGGGTACATCGTTCATCGACCCCCACCTCAACTTGTGCCTGATCCACCAACCTTTGATGGTAAGCTCGATCCAGAAACTTTCTTTGGCTGGCTGAAGAGCATGGATCGCTACTTCGATTGGTACATCCTGACAGAATCTCAGAAAATCAAGTTTGCCACAATGAAGCTCACCGGAACCGCCTGTCAATATTGGTCTAACTTTGAAATGATAAGGCATATTAGATGTGAGTTACCAATTTTTACTTGGCGAGAAATGACCGACGAACTGAAACGAAAATATCTCCTGTCATCATTTATTCATAGATTGCTAGATAAGTGGCATTGTCTTACTCAGGGAACCAAATCTGTAAAAGAGTATGTTACTCAATTTGATGAATTGTTTACTCGATGCAGCACCATTGAGCAAGAGGCACCAATGAAAGTCTTGTTAAAGTTTAGAGCCGGATTGAGAAGTGACCTCCAAACCAAACTCTTTGCTCGAGGAGTAGACACCCTTGAGAGAGCTTACGTCTTAGTTCAAAATCTAGATGAAGCCAAATTCCACCAATCTCATAGTGGTCAGGATTTTCGAACTCATTCCTCCCAGTCTTCTCGTGCCACTACCTCTAGTCAGCATCCGAGTCAATTTAGCCCTAGTTATTCCCAGTCTAGAGTCGATCCCAAGGGCCAGAAGTCAGAAAGATCTCTCTCCAAACTTAACCCAATAATGCAATGTTACAATTGTCAAGGATATGAGCACGTTGCATCCGTCTGTACAACTCTGTTCAGAGTTAGAATTAATAAGCCGTCTGTAACGGAATCAAAATCTATTATTGAGGAAACTGTTACCCAAGCCGTAAATTTGACAGAATCTAACTCTGATAAGAAAATCCAGGATAGTATAATCGAAGAACCATACATTTCTGTACCTTCTGAAACTACCCCAACAATTGTGGAGTTGATTAAAATTTCATACAATGACAACACTCCGGTCCTTTCCTAAGCTACCCACATGATCACGGAGTTCACTGATGTTATCCCTAAAATTGTTTCTGAAATTGAAAGGCCAACGCCTCTTGAACTCCCTCCCGTAATTGAAAACGTTGTTGATGTCCCTCACGAAGTCCTCCCAGACAATTATGATACCCAACACGTTCCTGATGATATATGTATGGAAGTTGAATATCAAACTAAGCCTAGTGAAATAACTACCATACTAGATATCCCACCACCATGCATTGTCCCAACAATCACTCCCACATATACTGATCCATTTTGGGAGAAAATATTGATTAGGGATACAAGCTGTAGCACGAGTGTTTTCATTTCCTTTTTCTCTCATGTTAAGTGCACCAAAATACTCATCTTTCCTGCATGTGTCTGCATGTTCCTCACTATCATTGTTAGGACAAGAAATTTGTTATGCACATCAACGAAGGAACACCTAATTATTTCATTTGATAGAGGACGTTATGCGTATTGAACACTTCGTTGAGTTTACATCTGTCATTGATCTCATTGTTTGAGTCTGCATTTCATCATGAACAATTGAGTTGATTTACATCATTTTTATTTTGTATTGATCATATAATGGGGAATCAGTGATCTAATTTGAATAAATACATTGTTAACTGAAATAAATGATATGGAGTCAGGACATAATTTAAAACTATTAATGCTGATATTTTAGATGGTTTGGACTTGTCCAATACAGTTTTTTTATAGCTGTTTAAGATTTTACATGATATTTATGGGCTTTTCCAGCTCTTGAACTAATTAATGACAACATTTATTAATTTGGTCATAGTTCTATTTTCAATATTGAGTGATTAAACAGTTCACAATGTTATTGGCAGTCCACTGATATAAGCCTGATCCTAACCTATTATTTATGAGAGTTCTTTCACTTTACTCCATTTCTATATATTCATCCATACAGCAGTGAATTTTGATAATATTTTAGATGGTGAATTTACAATACAATCTAGCTAATAATTTGAGATGCAAAAAAATAACTGACAGCAGATTAAGATGCAGACAGAGTATATTGAAGATGTCAAGTTTCTGTAGCTAACTCGACGGAGTCGAGTTTTCTCCCACCCGGGGAGAATAATGAGGACAAGAAATGACAATATTTGATTAGTTGATATATTTTTGAATTTTGAATTTTGAAATCTAAAATTTAAAATTTAAAATTTGAATTTTAAAATTTGAAATTTGAAATTTAGTTTAATTTTAGTTGAGTGATTTGAGGGATTGTTGTTTGTTTCTATTTTTATTATACGTTGTATACACGTAGTTTTTTTTATAAATAATGTTGTATGAGACTATTGAAAATCAATGAATTATTGAATGAAAAATTACATTAGCTAAAATCTGGTGTGAAGCCTTGGGTGTGAAACCTAGGCCTCGGGTGTGAAACCCTAGGTCGTTCCCTATGTCCTCTTCCTCCAGTCGCCAAGCATTCCCTCGTCTTCCCCACGTCAACAATCAGTCAAACCCTCATCTTCCCTGCAACCATCAGATCCACACTCAGTTCGCCCCTGATCTCCACCTCCGCACCACCAGCGTCATCATCTCCTCCCAAGCAGCCGCCCTACTCCCACTGTCACCGAGCCTCCTTTCCCAGCAACTGCCGCCTTCATGTACACCAACTGTTTGGCAAAATTCCCTATCAGAGCAATACTACCACTGCCACAGCCGCTTACCACAAATCATCACATCGCTATCGTCCCGTCAACCTTACCGACGTCGTCACTCTAGTCGCTGCTCAGAATCGCCGCCACCTTCGTCGTTCAGATTCGTCACCACGTTGTTATCAGTTCAACACCGTCGCACTCGTCGTCGTCAGATCTCCGCCTCGTCGTCGTCGTTCAGTTCACCGTTGTCGTCACCCCACCTCCAGAGGTCTCTCACGTCGAGTCTGTTCAGACTGACGAAGGTTTTGTTTTCTTTCGTCCCTTATTTTTCTGTTGATTTTATTTTGTTAGTTAATTACATGAATAATACATCTCTAAACTCTTATCATATATTCACTGCTTAAAGTATAATTGTGAGTTGAGAGAAACTGAACATGTGATTGTTAAAACTTGATATTGATTGTAAAACTTGTGCAATGATAATGAATATTACAATTAAATTATTCGAGATTGGGATTGTTTATGACTATCATTGCAAATCTTGTTAAAATCCATCTGTCGCATTAACTGCTTTAATTAATTTCCTACCGAATAAAATGATTTTTGGGCCAAACGGTGCGTTGTTTAAGTTAGATCGCTGATTCCGATAGACCCCCTCCCCCGTTTTGCATCACTTCCCCTATACAATTTTTGGCTTCCCATGCTTTCCATTGTACTTGTATCTCTCTGCTCACCTCATATCAATTAGATCTTATTTCTGTATAATTTCAATCATTCCACCAGACTGGAAACACACAAATTACTTCACCAAAATTCATGACAACGCTCTGAAAGTTTGTATTTAATTGCTTCATGCATTGACTTTTTAGATTGCTCAATGGACTCATCCGTTCTCTATCTGGTTATATCATGTGTCCATCTCCTGCATAGGAGTTCTGTTGCTAGAGGAAAGCTGAGTCTTAAAAATGTTACCTTCACAATTATATCATGTGTCCATCAGATTACTTATTATCATTACTTGTTGATGTTACTGTTGACTGAATCATTTGTTACTGTTGACTGAATCATTTTTTAGGTTTTCATTTGTATGGATAGTTATTTAATACATGTTGTAAGGTCTGAGAGTCTGTGGAGATATCTTGACTCTGTGGATTGTTTGAGTTGCCATTTAAGTTGAGAACTGATAATCATACAGTAGAATTTTCCATTATAACGTAAAACTGATGATTCAGGGGATGGTGATCGGAACATGATTCTTGGAAGAAATTTTTTTATCACTCCATCTGATTCTGTTGCAATTATTGCTGCTAATGCTCAGGCAGCAATCCCATATTTTCAAGATGGTCCTAAGGTACAAATGTGTATAGTTAATCCTGAGTTCCATGTGAAATATGGTGCAGTTCAACCACTTTTACTTCCACAAACTCACAGCTGAATATCACCAGGGACTCGCTAGGTCTATGCCAACAAGTGGCGCCCTTGATCGTGTTGCTGAGAAACTAAATCTTCCATTCTATGAGGTTTAACCTCCTTAGCTTTTGTTGTTTGGGAGTGTTATAGGATTTGAATCAAATTGGAATTGATTTATCTTGTGCGCAGGTTCCCACTGGCTGGAAATTCTTTGGCAACTTAATGGATGCTGGGAGGTTGTCTATCTGTGGGGAGGAAAGCTTTGGAACTGGTTCTGATCACATCCGCGAGAAGGATGGAATATGGTAAGTCTTGCTTGAGAAATATAAAATTTCTCCTAAAGGTTTTATGTGGAGCTTGCCACATGAATCAGCAGATAAATTATCAAGTAGCACATATACTTGTTGGATGTTGTGATATGAAACAGTTGTTGAGCCAACACATTCTTCATTTTTCAGTCAAATTACACCGCTTACCATATATTTCCATAGGCTCTTGTACACACGTGTATTCCCTGTCCATGGTAGCGTTTCAACAAACAACTTTTGGACAATTGAGTTTCTTCCAAATACCCGGTCACACTGATATTTCCTTAAGTGCTGTAGAATATCACCCCTCTCAGCCTTCTCACAAAAGAATGATTTCCTAATTCAGACTCTACATCCAGATTCAGCTCTGCCCTTCTTTCTTCCTGTACTTGCAATGAATGAGGGCAACTCCATGATACATGAATCAGATCCTCAGCTGCTTCTGAACATCCCTTTGAGATTTCCATTACAGTTGGTGGCTTACCATGTGGAAAATTCCAATAAAAAAACATTTCAGCTTTGGTGCAGGAGGCAATCTCCAATTAACTTCCAATTTGAGCACTGTGCATCTGAGCTTCTTTCTCCTAGCTTTTGATCTTCTTTCACTATTT